ATATTATTTATACAGTGCTTTAGAATTCACTAGAAAAGAAACAATGAAAATAATATTAATGATGTTTGAAAAAAAAATGTTAGCCCACCACGTTCAGTATGAAATTGGTTTATTAGTGATTAGTATTTTTTCTAAACTGTTAGTAAAACTTCCCTGTTTTACAAGATCTTAACATGGTTGCAAAGAATTTTATGGACAGAACCCAACAAGAGCTCTTATTGTGGAATTGTGCCCAAGCTGGTGATAATTGATATGACATTGATAAATAAAACTACTTTTAAGCACAAGGCTCACCGATTGTAAATGTGAAACTTTTCCTAACTTTATACAATCAGTAAGTATTCTTGGGGGAAGAGATATTTTTCTGCAGGTCCCTGCGTCATGACAGTACCGTGGCTCATGTGTGTGGAGGTACTGCACACACAGTGCACCATACCTGTGGTCCATCCTGCGCCTGGTTCCTCTGCCCTGGGTTTCATCTGGTCCTCACACAGGAAGTTCTGGGCTCTAGGCTAGAGCTCCTTGAATACAAACAGTAAGAACCATTTGGGAACATATATGTAGTGCTATAGATGATGAACACAGGGCCTATGCCTCTTGGCCACGGAACCCAAGGGTGGAAGAAAGCTCTGGGGATGGATAGAGAAGGCAGCCTGGTGCTTGGGCATGGTAATAGTCAGGCTGACCACAAGATGGCACTGAGAGATTGGTTTTTATATTTATTCTCAAGCAACTTTTATATATGGTTACTGACCCAAACTCAAGACCTGTGTTTCAAAATCTGTGTAGCTGATTTTGAGTCATTTTGATAGCTTTATAAGGAAACCCTTTCTTTCTGAAACAAGAGTAGGACCCTCTCCTTCCCTCAGATCCTCAGACGAAGAGGCAAAAAACAAACAAAAAACAACTTAGCAGGTTGCTGATGATGCCCTGGCCACCATGGGCAGAGGGAAGGGATTCTCCAGGGAAGCTTCCCACGAGGCCCAGTGACACACAGCCAGCAGCGGTGAGAGAAGAAGGCCAGACTGCCTCAGCCTGGTCCCTCTTCCTTTTCAGAAGAGAAGCTGTGTTCATTTGGATCTTTATATCCTGAGTGTGTCTTGGATTTCAGCAGCCTTTCCCCAGGACTACAGTTGCTATCTTAAATGAGAGATTTTAGGGAAGAAAACTTCAAAAATGGCTATTGTTTTTTCTAGTATAAAATATATGCTCATTAGAGAAAAGCCCAAAGACTAAAAATCTGTCTTTCCTTCATCTAGAACAGAGCTAGACTTTGAATTTCTTTTCAGTATTTAAAAATGCATAAATATGTATATTTAAACAAAAAAGAAGGTCATATATACATAGGCAGGTTGGTATTCCAATTTTCCCCCCTCATGTACATGGTGTCACAGGTAGCTTACTATGTCTTTAAATCTTTGAAAATGAATTTCTAGTAGCTGTGCCTTCCTTTAGTTTATCCATTCTCACCCTGCTGAAAAATTCATTTCAGATCCTTTGTTATCACTGATGCTATGATAAACTTTCTTGTGTCTATCTTTGTGACCCTCTCCTTGGTGATTTCTTCAGGGCAGAGTCCTAGAAACTGTTGTGAGGAGGGGGCCTCTCATTGCTGGACTGAGTACAAGTTGATATCACCTTTAGGAATGTGTGTCATGGGGATGCATCTGTGACCTCTGAGGGCCCCAGTGCCCTGACTGAGCTGCCATGTGAGTGGCAGTGAGGGGACAGTGGCAGAACAAGGCCTTTCGAATGCCCCCAGTTACTATCTTGGTGGCCTCAAGCTCTTCTCTGCTTCTTTTCTGTCTCCTATCCTTTATTCCTGTGTCCCTACCTACCTGCAGTCACTGTTTTGGGTTTTTTGGGTTTTTTAATGGTTTATTTTAATTTTTTAAAAATTGAAGAAAACTGGTAGTGACTTCCAGACATTAAATCAACAACTCCTTTAATATTCTCTTGGATTTATTACAGAAATTAGAAAAATATGTAAAAT